AAGTTATTAGTGCTGTCGAAGTAATAAGTAATATATATATATATATATATATATATATATATTACCAATACACCAATCTAACATAAATTTTGTTCTGATTCCTACAGTTATACACTTTAAGGTTAAACCATTAGGCACTTTTCACCTCTGCATCCTCATACAGATGAGCAAGTATATTCTAAGTGTGAGAAACCTCACATATTACAGTGGAAAATTAAGATTTTTCAAAAATTAGTCTTTCTGTAAACTGGAGTCAGATATACAAACATAATAAACATAATATGTAAACTTATGCTTTTCACCAGACTTATAACCCATGAAACGAGAGTCACACAAGATATAATTTATTCTTTGCAACATTACCCTCTCTAAAACATTAAAATCTACAGCTAAAACAATCAAAATACTAGTAAATGCAAGTCAGTCCTAGTTATTAACTGTTTCAGCATGGGCTCAGTCCCCGAGACTGATCTCGTAACCATTTTGCGCTTGTTATAGTTTTCATGCTATAACCTTTTAATTAGTAAGCAAATGTTAACAAAATTTGGCAGATTATCAATAAACATTACAATGCTTTCATAGACAAAATATCAAATCTTTTTATTAAGTTTTAAGGCATGTTAAGCAATGTTTTTCTCATACCTTTTTTCTTTTTGCATGTTGCCTATCCACCATGCAAAGTAATTTTCGTTTTAAGATTAAAAATGCTTTTATGCATCAGGAAATTTTTAAATTTCAGATGCAAAATCTTTATAATGTACAGATAGTTATCAAACATTTCTTATGAAAAAACTTTACATTTTATCTGTTATTTTCACTAATGAATCTCTGTACGGGTTTGGTAGATTTGATTGATTTCATAATCATCATAAAAAATTAAGAAATAAATTATAACTTGAATAACCAAAAAATCATGAATTACTATATCAATACTATAGAACTACTATAATTTATCAAGCTTAGTTACTAAGCTGTATTTCAGTCTAAAAAAATTAGAAATTTCGAGCAGACTGAAGACACAACCTATCTCCTTAAAATCTTGGTTTGAAAGAAAGAGATGGTGTCCTAAGACTTTAAAATGGAAATAGAAATCATCGAACATTACCATGTGCAACAGAGTGATGTGCAAGTAAAGGTAGTGAGTGTTCTACAGAGGCTAATGTTAACATTTTCCTGGGTCTTCTTTTGTTATACCTTCAACTGTTGATGACACTTAACCCTACTTTTTTATGCTAATTGTACTACTGCATTAAATAATGCACCAAAAATTAGCATTAGCATTTTCCCACGCTGAAAATGTAATTCCAATAATATTTACCTCCACTGACAGTTATAGCTATTGCTTGACTTCCAAGATTTCTTCTTTGCCAATCTAAGCATTAGTCGGAGTTTTTTCTTGCTTGCTCCAGTCTTTTATACCCCACTCAATTGCCCTTGGAGATATTTGTCATATGATACTCTCTACCTGCATCAATGTGCCTTCTATCCTGTGATTGTATGTAAGCACCTCATTCAGGTGTTATCACTTTTTCAAGACTGACTCAATCCCAGTCTCTGATGCTGGCTCTTAAATAGGGAGGAATGGTGGGATAGTGTCTGCAGAGATAAGCATTATTGGAAATACATTTTCAATTTAGGCAAATATTAACTTCCAAAACATACTTACCCACACTTCCGCTTATAGCTAGAATCCCACATTAAAATGGTGGAGGGGCTGGTGAGGACATTATCCATACAGAAAGCATCTGCATAGATCATGGGTGTACCAAGATGATATTGGTACCTGAGTGAGGGAACTGCACTACATCCAGAACAGAACAGCTCTTCACCATGAACTTAGTTCCTGTATCAAGGGTGAAATTGTACATGAGTGATCATCACTGTAGGCCAGACCCAACCAGATAGCTAGGTTTCACTACTTGGGATTGGAATTAAGGGGTCTTGGTTCCTATATCCCATGTTGGTGGCTAGGGCAATTGGACTCTTCAACGTTACATACACACACACACACACATATATATATATATATATATGTGTAACATACAAATGAACAAAGACAAGCCCAAACAAAAATCAAATCAAAAAATGCTGCACAACAAGAGGATCCCCAGGGTACAAGCTATAATGTGGAATATATCTTCTAAATTATTCAGATTTTGTAAGATTTGTAATAAATTACAATCTTTCATTATTCATGATGTTAGAAAAATACATAGGTTCAAGAAGTCCCAGTTTGCCCCTGAAAAAGAAGAAAGGTCCACCTTTAGAAAGTGCTTGGGTTATAGGGTTTTATTCATTTCTATCAATATTTCATTATTAATGTTAAAATATTAATGAAAAACTTAATATTCAATGGATTTAATAAAGAAACTGAATAAAATTATTAAAATATTCTGTGATAAATATAAATGTATTAAATAAATATGAAGAAGTAAACATGAAGGAGATTTTGTTGATAGTTTCCAGTAAGTATTTTTAGTTTTAATAAGGTCATTTAAACAACTTGGCATTACTTTAATGCAGATGCACACTTTGTAGCATATAAAGGCTTGTGTAGAGTCTGAAAATTTGTAGTCACAGTGGACTTAACGAATGGTGGTTGAGAATTATACTAGTTAGTTTAGATAACTTGGTTGAGTTTTTCTTCTGGTATAATTTGTCTACTGTGCTACTAATTAGTGCTTTACTACTACCATGAGGGCTGGAATGCAACCTCAGGAGGTAAGTTTATCTTATTTACCTCTGAGTGGTAGTACCTTATCTAATTTTTTGTTCTTTGTTACTTTTACTGTGAGAAGCAGTCACCTTCCCACAACTGTTTGCAGGCAGTGAAGAGTAATTTAAATGTGGGGACATTGTGGGCTTGAGCACCCACATCTTGCTCTCCTAATTTCTACTTCTTTTGATTATTTTATTTTTTGAATTTTTTCATACGAGGTTTGTGAAAGGATGTTTAGACTGATAGATGGTGTATCTCCACCGCAAAGTGGGCCCTACTTCTTCAGTCACATCCAAAACCCAGGGCACATTTTATATCCCACATTGTAGCCTGGACCCTGGGGATCCCCTTGATT